TGAAGGTAACTTCAAAGGCATTAAATACTTTGATTTGTTTCATACAGACAGAAGATATCCGTGGTTCAAAAACTTAAATTTCTTCAGGTGAGATATTGTTACAATGAATAGGATTCGGGCAAATCATCACAGTCTGGCAGAGTCTTTATTTCGAAAAAATATTGTCAATTCTCCCTCATGTAAATGTGGATATAAAAATGAGGATCTCAACCATTTATTTTGGTCCTGTCCTCTTTATAATGTACAAAGATCTGTTTTAGTTTATGATCTCATTAAAAATAAGTTTCTTCCCCCTCATAACGTTGAATGTTTTATTGCAAAGCCAAATGTCACTGCGTGCTATTATTCATGCAAATTTGTTAAGAACTGCGGAATTAATATTTAAATAATTATACGTCCTAAAATGGCGCACTAGTACAAATACAACAAATGTAAAGTTATTATCATTGTTAAGATGACTAGTTATAAAACAGAAAGTATTGTTTTTACCATGTAAGATATTTAATATTCTCAACGTTGCAATATACATGTAAAATATTTTATGAATAAAGTAAGTGTACATACCCTAAGGTCAGTACACTCTAATATAAAAAAAAAGGTATATTGGGTTAAAAAATTTTGAAAATGACGATTCAGTGACGTTAACCGACTTTGTAAAATCAGACGTTTATCGAACGCAACTGCCAGATAATGCAAATGAAGCAACGTTATATGAGAGTATTATGGTATTTATTTCAAACGCCCGAAGGAATTTGAGTTCACAATTAGTTATAATCATCTGCTGAACCACAGTAAGGATTATGTCTCAGGACAATCGGTGAAATTCTGGAAACCAAAAATACCAAAAACCAGTTTACAAAATACACCAGAACTCTCTGAAGATTTAGAAAAAATTAAAATAAAATCAATTGTAAAGAAATGGAAGGATGCAATCATGGACGACAAGTTAAAAGATCGATTAGATTCAGTAGAGGTTACAGTATCTCGAAAAGACAATGTCATTGTAGCTGACGTCGTATGCCCCGTGTCCAACTATCAGATAAAGTTGATTAAACACAAACTAACTTGGAACATGTACAATTTTGAAAAGCAATGTGTTACCCATCGTGAAATAGAAAAAGAAAGACGAATCCAGCTTCGAAACCCACTGAGAAAAAAAAGCAAAAATAAATGATAGTCAATCAACTCAACATCAAAATTCTACAACACTACGAAATAAAGAAAAAGAAGTAGAAGTTGAAAATGAGATGGAAAGGCTGATTGAAGAAAGGGAGGATACATACAGTTACAATTCGTATTGCTCGCGAAAGCAAAGTTTGGCTTAGTGGGGGTAAACGGAAACTGTAGCTTTTTACCTTCGCCGCGTGATCAGTTCTCTTTCTCCACTCTCTTCCAACTCCCATGTTCTCACAAGTACTCCCTACTACACTGTCTTATATATTCAAGTTGTCTTTTTGTACTTACCTCCCAACTTCTTTGATTTACCTTTCTTAACTGCTTCGTAGGTTTCTCCTACTTATATTGTCGGAATAAAAGTCTAGTGACAACATGTGAAACATGTATCAAACTTTTGATAAAATAAATAAAAATTTATACTAGTTGTACTTTTATAAAATTACCCAAAAATTTTCTAGTTACATAGACCTCTAACATTGAAGTAATCATTACTTTCACAAATATATATTATACTAGCGGTCCCCCCGAGCCTTTGCACCAACGGCTACTTCCTGACGAACAAAAATTAAATTTATTTGTTTGTTGAACGAATCTACGAATTCCACCCAGTATTTACAAGTTTTGTTTGATGTAACACTGTCCTACTAAGAGGCTGAAGCGGCTCAATTTCGTGGTAATGTGGAATATATGATTTTAACATTGCATAAGAATTATTGTTTTTTTTAAATTTGTTACTCTAACCCATACAGTTTATTGTTGTTTTCCATATAAACGGTCTTGTAGGATAAAAAGAAATTTTTTATTTCAAACAATAATTTGTCGCTGTCCACAAATCTTTTTAAAATTTATATTTCATAATTAGAAAAATTTAGCTGCAGCGTAATTTTTTCATCGAAATCTATGAATTTTTTCCAACGTAACATTCAAAACAGTATGACACAAAGGCTACGCGCGCCCCCTCTTGCCAGAGTCCATGCATAACCTTTAAAAAAAATCGACCTTGCACTCACATATATTTTTTACTAGGTACAGAAATGGTCTAAAATTTTGATAGAATGTGTTTTAGTACTAAAAATAAAATATAAATAATTTTTTTGAATTGACGCAAATTATCCATGTACATTAAAAAAGATAATAATTTCACAAAAAGCCTTTTATTCATTATATGATTGGTTCAAACTAACATTACGTTATGGTTATAATACATCACATCTTAAGTTTTGAGAAGCAGACCCATGCACTTCTTACGAAATTTTTACGCAATGCAGTGCACTGGTCAGAGCAAAACTTGCGATGTATACTAGGATTACTAGGATGGTTTGAGTACATTTTTAGCAAGATTAAGATAGACTTACTATAAGTACAAAGTATAAAAAATCAATGGTGAGTCAATACTATTCATAAATTAAAAACTATGTATTCTAAAACTCATGAAAACATGTATCACTTGAAAATATTATTAATGAAATTGATTTTTCTAATATTTGTGAAGTCGCTATCGCAACTGAAGTAGTTACTTTTTAAAGATATATCCGAAGTGATTACAATACTAATATCACGTTGTAACATTTAACTATTTTATTTTCTTTGCGTAAGAATATACAAAACAACGCAAGTTTGAGTACTGTGAGATACGTGAGAACAGACCTAATGACTAAGTCAATGTAAACACATCGAACATGGTACAGTGTATACGATATATCTTACAGGTATACATATTACCGACAGTATACAAAACATAACTCAAACGTGCCAAAAATCTTGATTATAAATTTTATCTTAACACTTTTAAAAAAGTAACAATTTTTTTCCAGCTTTCAGTTGCCCACGGTGATTAAAATATCTAAGAATAAAATAACTTTATAGCAAGTATAAAAATTGCATTGATGCCTCCAACAATATCTTGTATAATTCAAATTTTTCCTTTAAATATGGTATAAGGAAATCAAACACTGCTATAAGCAATTAAAACTGTCAATTAGGCATGTGAATAAAATATTGCAACGTTACACGCACCTTTTTACATCGATGCACGTCGATTAGTTCAATCAACATTGCAATTCTCTCAGGTTTCTTGTTGTTTTCAATTATCTGTAGCTTTTATCGTATATTCGTTACAAATTGTATATTACTCATATTAATATACTTTAACAATTTATTCTGATACGTAGATATAATGAGGACGATAACGTAATAATATATTCGTCATGTTAACCCACAAGTCACGCATCTAGCGGACTTTTGGTAGAACTAAAATTAGGTTTTAGTTTAAGTATAGCCTGGTAAAATAATACACATGACTTATTTCATTAGTTTTATTGGTATATTCAGTGGCTTGTGCGGTACCCCATATCAACTTAATATCACCATAACTCAGAGAAAAAAATGATAAACGATTGGATTGTACATGTAGTTATAAGGCTGGGCAAGGTGGAAATATAAGTGTAAGCATATAATAGGTGCACTTGTATATTTAACGAGGTATATTTGGAGGTTATTAAAATGAAAGCAAACAGTAAGAAAAATTTCTAATGACATTATTTACCAACAAAAATACGAGAATTCATCGATTTATAATGCAATTTGCACTGACACAGCACCAAAATGGGGGAAAAAAGCTAAAGATAATGTGAAACAGATGTATGAGCAATTCGGTACACTGCAACAAAAATATTGCTCCTTCGGTGTGGATTTACTGATTGTTTATTTTTCGTATGCCATCTGCTTGGCACGATTGCGATTACGGTTTCCCTGGCGCCACTTAATTCTAAACTTTAAAACAGTGTCAGGTTTTGTTTCTACCAACATCCACTAGATGCACCACTTGTGGATTAATACGACGAATTGTATCCATGAGGGAGAGATTTTAGTTCCAGTCATTGCCGCATGATGCTTTTTTACATTGTAGAATGTCGCTAAATTTTCGCAGTTTTCTTTTGAACATGTAAAATTTTAGAGGTTTTAGTTTCAACTTCAGCCGCTTCATTTACTTTTGTAAGTACTTTTTGGCGCTATAGTAGTCGCGTCTCATAGCGAAATTCGCTATACCAGTTATGAACCTAAGTTTCAAAAATTCAAATGCGTGTAGATAATTATATATTGACAGTTTTTGGAAATTACACAAAAATTGCCTTTTGTTTAGTTGCAATCAAATTTTCCTTTAATCCTTGCGATATTATGTATTTGAGTTAGTAAAGCAATTGAAAACCGGAAAAATTTTTTTTGAAAGATCTCTTTCTTACTATGGTATCTTAAAAGACTCATTCTTGCTGTTAAATTTTAACAGGTTCTACTTATCTTGCCTCATGTTCCGAAAATACTGCAGCATAAGATCAAGTAAACAATTTTCGACAGTTTGGTTCGATACAAGCGTTGCATTTTATATTTCGAAAAATCTTTAAGAATATTTTTTCTTGAATTCTCAATGACTACCATAAAAATTGCACTATATAAGTTACTTTAGGATTCAACTTAAGCAGAAATCTGTTTTACCCTCAGATCTCTACAATATATATTATGGTTGTTGGATTAACCTTGTATGTCCCTGTACTTATGGCCTGAGCTGCATAGTTTGAAACTTTATTTTAATTTCATATTCAAAGCCGAGGATAGAAAACGTGCAATATAATTACTAGACATTAACTGCCTTTCGTCATGTGATTTTACGTGGCGCATTGGAGAGAAGGAAGTGGTTATTTTTGTCTTGCAGACACATGACGTAATCATGGATTTAATATAACTTAGTCACATTCTGTATGTAACTCATGGGCTAACACAAGGACAAACTTAAATATGGTTGGGTAAGTAGACAAAGGAATTCCTACCTCTTTTCGGTCGCTCAGAGGACTTGCTGTAAGTCTCGCGTAAGATCGGCTCATTGTAGATACCCGGGGAAGCCAACCTGGTGTCGATGGTAGTGCTGGATTTACTCTTATTCTTCTCAACGCAACGGAACCAAGACTTTGGAGGTACGGGCAGGCCGCAGTCTCGCATGCTGTCGATGAGCTTGGCTGAAACGGGGCCCACAGGAATGGTCAAGCCTACAGCTTGCATGCCCTTGCCAACCAGGTCGGCTGTTGGCCCACTCAGGGGATGTGACATCCTTCAGTCGTTTTGTACACTCGACTCGATTTGGTAAGTACCGCTTCACAATAAATGTACGAATTATAGGTTTATGATGTAGATGTAAGTATAAAAACTACTCCCTTCATACCACTGGTCTCTGATAGGATTACAATGTACGTACCTATTAAGCTTTCTTGATTGCTTTTACTGAATTGTACCAAGCCCCGGGCCGCGAACGACTAAGTTGAAGAACTCAATGGTGGGAAAAATTATTTACATACTTATATACGTATGTCTCTACAATGAGAGTTTTTCAGAAAATGTATTTGACTGAAATTATGTTTCTTGGAAAAATCATGTTGAGACTTCAACGGATGATGATTTTATTCTTAGGTATAAAGTGAATTTCCTGAGTCAACTAACGTAAGTGTAACTAATAAAAGTAGAAGAAAACCGCAAAACTTTATCAAAACATATGAGATTCATAATAGTTGTATCGTAATGTCAAGAGTACATTTGAAGAGTCAAATGACTCTTCTTGTACAAGATGTAAGTGGACCGAATTAGCTTCATTGAATGGATAGCAATACTTAATGATGTACTGCATACTTTTTTCTCGCAGTACAGCTTTCTTATTAGTTTCACGACTTTTTGATCTTAGTTGGGTAAAATTAGATTATTCGAAAGTACAATTAAGATCAGAGGTTTTATTTATATTTTTCTTTAAAATAAACACTCCACAATGTTTTTTAACAAATGTAAGAAAGTAACTAAATCGGTCGTTTATCACAGTTAGCGGGGCGGGGGGGGGGGGACTAGAGAGCTACAATGGGGGAGGAAACATGCGACAGCACCGACAACTTTTCTCTTCATATATGTACACACACACACATATACACGCACACAACCTGACCCTGTTTTTTCATTTTATTGCAAAAATAACTTGTCGATCCCTCTAAAATTTAATCTATTTTTTTTGTGCACCATGAAATTGCATTATGCAAAAAAATTGGACGAATTGAATTGATTATTTTCGTATGGATTAAATTTGTATGTGAGTCTTCCATAATGTTACGTGTTAAATTAAGGTTTTTTAAAAACATTTAATATTTAAAAAATGGTGTTGTGAAACGATCTCAAATTTTACATGTGACTTCCTAACATTATAACGAACATCCTGTTGATACTTCAGAAAGATCTTTCAAAAAACGCCGTGTGTGATGAAAGTTCTTAATATAACTTACACGAATGTCTTATATGTTTAACTGTTATATAAATATACTATGCTGTTTTGTGTGTACAGTACTCTTATTAATTTATTCTTCCTAGCTCTGCCTTCTGGCTTCTTCAATCACTGCCAAAAAGTATGAGAGATGTTTTAAACTCTGATTTCTTTTCGCTTTTTTTTCAGCAGTTTTCAAAAGTGCCAGAGTGCTTAATCTGCACTGCTACATGTTCAATTCCACGGATAGCAGCTCCAGATTATTTAAGCAGTGACTGTCTATCTAAACGGTTGTGCAATAAATGTAATTTACTCGGGAGCAAGTAAATTGTTATTAATTTTTTTTTATTTTTTATTTTGGGTTATTTTTAAAAAATAAATTGTAACTTATAATAATGATAACAATACCAATAATAATATTAAATAGGGATTTATTAATACGATGTAAAAACTCTAATTGGCTTCGGTTACAATCAATAATGCCTTTTAGAATTGTACTTACCGTTAATGAATGTTAAATATAACATTAATATTATAATGACAAGAATCAAAAATATATAAATAAAAAGATATTTTTATAAGTTATTATCTTGAAAAACTTTTTTTATAGTTTTTTCATAGGTTGCTTGGCACATTACTGTCAGATTGGCAACTTATGACATTTTTTAATTTTTTAGCTATAATATTTTTAGAAAATTCAGTATTGCGTTTTTTTATGAATTTCCTTTTTAGTCTCAACTCATAATTTACCCCTGATTTTTTTATCGGTTGTACGTGTCTTCAGCGATTTATCACAACTCCGTCACATTAGACACAGCTTCTTTGTTTTCCTTGTTTTTCACACATCTTTAATCTTCCCTCGTAGTTTAGGCACCAGGTAGGGTCCCGTGGCCTTTTGCTTTAGAACGGATCCAACAAAGTTTTTTTCGTATATTTTTGCCTGCTAAACATGATATCGATGGTGGGTCGCGATCCGAATGGACAATTTTTTTTTTTATTAACAAATTTTATAAACAAATATACATTTTTGATTTATTGCGTTCAGCTTATTTTGAACAAAAAAGTTTATATACAGTATATACTTAAACCCAATACTGTTCTCGTAAAAAATTCTGAAGGTGTTTAATGTTTTGTTATTAACAAATTTTATAAACAAATTGCAAAAATGGAAGTTTTTCAAAAAAATTCTTAAGAGTTCGGTTTTACGGAGTGTAAAGATCTCCTTATGTCACGAAAAATTGAAACTTTGATTCCCCCATACGAAGAATTATTACCACCTTGCTCTTGTAAAATTGCCCTCAATTAATCTTTATTAATTTAATCTTACAAATCTATTGAGTTAGAAGACGTTTATACAAGTAATAATTAATTTTCCATTATCCAATTCATTGTTTTTTTCCATACACTTTGAGGTTATACATTTTTTGTGATGTTATTTTTTTAGAAAAATGGACAGACAATGAAAAATTTATAACTACTTGTATAAATGTCTTCTAAGTTGATAAATTTGTAAGATTAAATTATTAATGAGAAATTGTCACTTACTTCCATGCATTATCTCCGGTCCAGTGACTCCGACTGTCGCCAGTGGTGGCGTTCTTTTAAACTGTTGCACGGTCTGAATAATACTACGAGTGTCACACGGAAAATACCGTACATAAAAAAAAAAAAAAAAAACTCGACCAATTTTATATTTTGATTTTAGAACTTTTGCTTGGCTGAAGATTTATTATGAAGAATTCAACTATACATTGCCACTGTCTGAAAATTACCAACAGAGCCGAGGTTGTCACGCGTGATCTATATTAGTAATGCTGTCGAGGTGTCGAGCCAAGCAGACGAGACGCTTCAGCTTCAGTAATAAATTGTAAATCAATTTACAACAACTATAACCTCAAGTTCAATCGAACGATATTATCTTCCTTTCTTTATTTCCTTTGTTTATACATCAAATCATATATTTTAGTACCTACATAGGTCTTGATTTGGGGGTTATACAATGATTTCGCTTATTTCCGTAATTAGGGACAAAGAAGATTTTATTGTATTTTACTTTAGTCAAAAGAGTAAATAATTATAAATCACTGTTCAGAATTTTTGAGCCATTTATTGACTCATTAGGTACCTTATGCTCCAATGTCGAGTGATCTTGATCTTAACCTTGTAGATTTCAATATTTCTCGCATGAAAAATGCTATTACGGAAAGCTTTTATAAAGTTGATAAAACTAGAAATGTTCACAATTCGAAAATTACAGCAGTAAGTTACTTAGTACGGTTGATAAAAAAGTATAGAAAGGACATAATAAACAAATTACATTTAAATATTGACCTAAGAGGAAATGTATCAAACAACAATTTGACGACGAATGCGAGAAAGAGAAAAAAGTAATGAGATTCCAATAAAAATACTATTAACAAAATTAAAAGATTAGGTAAGTTTGGTGTGTGAAATGAATATTTTTAACTGATACAGATTACAGAGTAGATGCAACAACCTCGGCTCTGTTCGTAATAAATTGCAAATTAACGTAGTTTTTGATTTGACAATAACTACAACTTTAAACTCGACCACACAAGTGTCATCTTCCTTTTTCAATTTCCTTCGTTTATTCGAAACAGTTGTAACGTTTAATATGTTATAAATAAACGTACCAATATTGTAATTTCACAAATATGACGTTTATTTTTTTATTTCTTTTGACATATTTTGAAGGTAAACGGATACTGATAATATTAATTTTTCTATTAGAAGTTTTTTATTCGTATACATATTTTCAAGACTATAAGGTTTCTAAAATTCATAAATCTTTACATACGACAGTTATAATAAAAAAAAATTTAACCTTTGTAAGTGCAGGGAGGCCAGAAAATGGTTCAGGTAAAATTGATGAAAAAAATTTAGATGAAGAGGAAGAAGGAAAATAAAAGATTTAAAAATATTTTGATTGCTCATTTGTTTATTTATAAAATTATGGATATTTACAAATATACATGTGTGTGTATATAAACGTTTTCGAACTGTGTGTATTGTAAAAAATTTAACAATTTAACGTATTAAAGTTTAGTATGCACATTACTAAAAAAAGATACTTCGATAAACATGAAGTACCATTTCAAAATTTTTTAAAAGAACTTGATACTTCAGATTTCTTAAAATAGATATTAACCTCTTGCTTACAGCATGGAAGACATATAAATATATATATTACGAGTCATAATATACAAACACCTTAGATATTCTAGACACCTAGATAATCTAGTCCAGCGAATAACTTGTCAATCTATTGATAGTAATACTAAAGCCATAAAAGTTTGCTATAAAGCATCATATTATTGGCGTTTCTCAAATTTCACTAGTAATGCTAAGGCAGTAAGAAATTTTAAATTTTGAATAAAAATTAATAGAAAATTTCAATTACTATAACTAATTAAATTTGAAAAATATAAGTAGGTATACTTTAATAAAGTAAATAGATATACTTTAATAAAGCAACAAGATAACAAAATGTAATTTTATTTTTATTGAGTGTTTTTCTTTTAAATCACTCATTCATTATTTCACCCCTATAAAAAAATTGTAATAATTTTTTGCGGATCTAAACAGCGCTATCACAAATGATTATCAGGCTTATAATAGAGACGCCGGAATTCTAATATCTCTAAAAGCGATGTTGTTACTTTATCCATCGCAGTGATTCCGAAAACTGCGATATTCTTAAGTCAAGTTAAATAATTTTAAAATTAATATTTCTTATTGAAAATTGTGAGTTCATGCGCAGTTTTCTAATATTACTTTAGTGAAAAAGTTGAAAAAGTCCTTATTTAAAACTCTTAATTTTTGAACTTGAACTTACGATATTTAAAATTTATGTACATGGCAAGAAAAATTTGCTAAAAATATTTAAAATACATCTTATGTAATGTAGCACAGGCACGTAGTGGACGGCCATTTTTAATTTTCCTGTAACTACAGAATTGATAAAATTCCAATTACTGATATTTTGTCAATGGCAAGACCTAAGGCTTATTGGCATATGATTACCCTCATTTGTTACCTAATACTCGAAACTAATATCGCATGGTTTATCAGTAATATACAGTTTCATAGTAAGTTTGAAAATTATTATAATATAAATAATTTACTTGAATAAATTTATATGTATAAATAGGTATGTATAAATAGTTTAAATATTAAAAATAAAACCTGATTACCGGTGATGGTGTGATATGAAAAATACCAGCACGAAATAAGACACTTAAGCAATAGGAACGAATGTACCACATATTATAGTATATTCAAAGTTCTATAAAATTACTGACACGTGCCATGGTTTTCATTACTTTTAGTACTTCGTTGGCGTCGTAGCGAGAGATTCGAAAACGTGTAAGTTTCTGGTTCAAAAGTAGGTGGATAGTCCAAATGTTGGACATGCGAAGTTGTACTGTCAGATGTTGTTGGCCATTGAGCTGGCATAAAATATCTTGTACTGTCTTGAGGTGTATATGTATCATCCGCTGCACACTGGAAAAGCTTACAAAGCGCCATAAAAAAAATGTTAGTAACAGTTTTCAGTATATTCATGTATAATACATAATTTATGAATTCTATTAAGATTTGGCATTAGCTGCTTTCGTTTATTACTGGTTTATAGTTACAATGCTTGTTACACATAAGAAAATTAAGTAAAAGGACCAGACACAGAGTTAATAAATCAATGAGTTGATGATAGATTGTTCTAACCGTGGGCGTTAGAGTTTTATGCTGAAGGCGGATCATAGTAGTTTTCGTAACAGAAGTGGCATCGCCATAGGGACTATTTTTCTGCCCAAGAGATCTGCAAATAGTTATTTACGCATCTAGTGAGCGAGGTTAAGAATGTCGCAGATTTCACATGAATAAACATGTGAAATGGTTAATGTGAAATCTAGGGCATTTTTCTTAACCTCCGAACATGGTGCGTATACGATTTTACGTCTCCCGGTGCTCGGTAAGTACAAAATTCTGCCCGCGTAGCGGTAATTTTCACTTACAGAGCCAGTGACGTAAAATTAAGTACCGAATACCATTTTTCTACCAAGGGCGCAGTAAACGTCCAAATGTCACGAAAAACTACCTAAGATAGAAAAACTAGTATTTTTACCTACCCAAGCGGGGATAATTTTATTCAATAGCAGCCACTGAAAATTTCCGAAAGTAGGAAAAAAAAAAATTTTAATACTTTTACACCAAAAAATATGATATTTTACAGATTCGAAAAATCAGGTTTTTGGCTATATCTTAAAAAGTGAAAGACCTACACATTTAGTATCAAAGAAAAGTTGTGGATCTCAAAAAAAATTTGTTTTTCTTTATTTTTATTTATTTTTTCAGAACCGTCTTTATACTTAAGAAACTAAAGAAAATCCTGGGAGACATAAGAAAATAGTAGCTAATAATAAAGAATAATATTACTTATAACATTTTATTACTTGTTTTAAGTCTAGTTTTCTATAATTCTTATAATCATTGATATTTTTTTTATTAAAATAATTTTTACTTGTGTAGGACGCAAGGTGCAATTGTTGCTTTTCGTCTATAGGGCCACACTTTGTGCCTTTGTAATCAGTTTGTGCTCACAAGCAAAAAAGTACTTTTCCGCCCTCGGGTGGTTTTGGGAGGCTGGTACTTCCTCGGGCGAAAAAACAGTTTTCCGCCCTCGGGTGGTTTTGGGAGGCTGGTACTTCCTCGGGCGAAAAAGCAGTTTTCCGGAACTCGTTCGAAAAGTCTCCTTTACGAACCTCGCTACGGACCTCGCCTTCGGCTCGGGCCGCAAACCTCTCAGTTCGCAAACAAAGACTTTTCAAACTCGTCGGAAAACTACTATTTCAGTCCTCAGGGCACAAAGTACTTTTTGCCTTAGGATGCAAAGTGATTTACCTGGCGCTAAATGTGCCTATGGGTGCTAAATATGACTTTGTGTCCTTAGTAAGAAAAACGTCGTTCATGTCTTGGACATAAGCATCCCCTAGGCTCGTCAGCTCGTAAGCTTCGTAATGTACTAGTTATTGACAAACAAAAAATACATACCCTCTGAGGTGGATGCATTCGAGAAGCAAGCATATTATTGGAGATATAATTGGCAGCGCTAATGTTTGAGTAATAAGCTGGTGCCTGATTCGTTCCAACGTAATGGCTCTGAGGAGTCTCATTATCTTCAGAACTTTGATTTGTTGAACGATTTCGTGGTTTGTCACGAAAAAATGCTCTCCGTAAACTTGGTGAACCTAAAAAGGTGCATATGTTACTCAAAAAACTTTCATGTGACTAATATATAAACATACATATGTATAACATATTACCATTTATTTTACGTAAGTGAAAATAATAAATTTAATACGTAAAATACAGAAAAAGTAGTTATAGCTAAATATTTATTGCTATAAACGTCTTAGGATATCTAGAAAAGTCAATGTGATCATTAGTTAAAAAGATTATTCAGAATACAATACACATATAATACATGGGACATTTTTTAATTCACTCCTTTGAATTAGTACTCAATGTTGAATTCAGCGATAAATGACCCAACTGTTGTGCAGGCTTCAATCACTGCAGAAAAACAGTCTCAAAATTTCGTATGCTTAGACGATGTAACACGTTTGGACGTTCAATCCAGAATCATACTTTATATCATGAAATTCATAATTGCTTAACTAAGTGATTTTCAACGAATCTAACCTACGAAACTTTGTAGTCGTCGTTCGCAGTAATTGGGTCTAGGCTTCAACATGAAAACCTCACGGGAGAAACCCACACATAGTAATTGGGAGTCAGTAAATGGTGCTGATTTTATAACCATCAGCAGTAATACAAGCAAGTGATATTAACACTAAAATGATTATTTTAAAAAACTACAGGGTACATAACAGAAAAACGTTCGTCGTTTTAATAGTATAAGATGCTGCAGACGGAGATAAAATAAAACTGCTTCCATTTACATAAAAAAACATCGAGCAATCAACAATTTAGCACAGTCAACCATTTCAGTGCGCAACTACGCAGTAGTTGGGCCTTTTCCCCCATTAGTTTTTATACTTGGTGGCATATGTGTCCAGGGCAAGCACCAGACACAAGAAACCTGTTAAGCAGGGCCTGAGGGATTCCTTTGTGCTTACCCTAGATAGACGCATACCCGGTGCGAACTCTATTTTTTCCTATTGAAGGTGCACTAAACGTCCAAAGGTAGAAAAACGCCCAAAGCAGGAAAAAATTTCTGTGTGGTATTAGTAAAGTATATAGCCCTGATTCCATTCCAGACCAATGAATAAGTAATTCTCTTTTCTTACTACCTCACCCGAAAATTCGAGTTTCGGTGGCAGTGTATAGGGACGAAATCCAATGTTCTTTCCCTATCGACGTGACATCTATATCGCGTAGAATTGAATTTGAATTGAATTGAATTTATTATTAAAGAGGGGTCGGGAGAAAAATTTCCAGCTTCCTACTTTTCCTTGCTTGAGAGAGAGATAGAAAGAGCGAGCAGCAGTGCAAAAGTACATAACTTACCTACGTTGCGTTTATTTATTTTTTCGAGCTGTAAGGAAACTTGTACACCACGCACCCAACTCGGGTGTGACTATTTTGTCGTATAATGCATGTAATCTCTTTTGGTAATATGTAACGTAAGAAATGTCTAACCTCAATCTGAATACAGAAACAATGATAAAATAAGGGTTGGAAAATCTTAAAAAAATCAAATATGTGACTTTTGCAACAACCGATGCCCAGGAGTCTAATAAATAATTATATTAGTGCATAAATGTTTGAATGCTGTTGATATGCAAAAATATTTATCAAATAAAAAAATTTATAAGATGTCATTTAATACCTAAAAAAATCCAAAGGATTTTTAATAAAATTAAGTTGTTCTGACCGACTTCTTTTGCTTTTCGGGCCTGTTAACATCCACTGACCAACAACCCTCGCTTCGCTCGGGTCGTTAATGTTAGCGGATGATACAGGCCCTTCACTTTTGCCCTAATCATAACCTGTTACCATAATCATCACTGAAGCTAATTGTTTTCTGACTGCCAATGAACCACGAATTTTCGACCGACGTAAAATGAATTACACGGGACGTCACTCGATAATCCACTCCGGTGGTTTTGCCCGTGACAAGCCGAGGGGGGTAACTTCACCGCCGGGAGCGGATCATCGAGTTTCGTCCCTTGTAATGTATTGATTGTCACGTGACTTCAACCTTTTTTATTCGTTGTGTGATTGGTTAAGACTGATCAACTGATTTATTCGGTGGAATCAAAAAAAATCATAATGTTTGAATTGTAATAACATAAAAAATGATTTACACCAAAATTATGATATTTTACTTGTTTGACCTTTGAAAAAAGTAAATTTTAAACTACCTATAAAATTAGTCTCAAAAATTCAGATCCCATGCGTCGTAACTTGTAGTATCTGAATTATAGTAGCTTCAAAAGTTAAATTTCTAAAAGTAAGAAGTATTAAAATACCTTTAGGGTCAACAATAAGATATTTTACAGGTTCGCAAAACCTGGTTTTTGACTATATCTTAAAAAGTAAAAGCCTTACACATTTGATGTTAAAAAGGTAGTTATGGATCTCAAAAAAATTTTTTTTTCTATATTTTCATTTATTTTTTTAGAACCGTCTTTATACTTAAAAAATTAAGAAAAACCCTAGGGAGACATGAAAAAAATCAGCTCTTTTGCTGATATTTACAATTTTCATCCAAGGTATTTGTGTGGTCGAATAGAGTTGTGGATTTCAATAAAATACAAATTTCTTGTACAGTAAATTTTTATCCAAATTGGGATTTTAATGGTGATGAAGGTAATAAACATGAAAAAATTTTAAAAATAGAGATTTTTGTCCATTACAGTATCAAGTTGACATTATACCACAAATTTGTTTTTTGTACAATAGTTGTAGATTATTAATAGAAATGGGTGCTTCCTTACTTCAATTTAATGAAAAAAAATTACTAGCGATCTATATGAGACTATTTTAATTATCTTGCTTAAGTGGCTCTTTGCTCATATTCAACTTTACTTTTTAATATCTCAATGAGAATTTTAAAATAAATTTAGAGTTACATGTGGTTTTGGATTGAAGAGATAAATGAACATCATTAACGTCTTTGTTAAAGTAGACAATTTTTTTTCTTGTGAAAACTAAAAAACTATTGTAACGGCTATCAGAATTTCGAGATAATATTATCTTACAAAGTTGGATTAAATCAGTTTTCTTTTATTCAGTTATTATTCGTTGCATTTAATGACAAAATTAGAATTCAAGATTTTTTGTACATACCGAGCAACGTTTTCTTTGGTGTAGATTCACGAGAAGAATCAAGACTCGTTGCTTTCGGCGAACTTTTGCCGAACAAGTTTTTCAATCCCTTACTCTTTTTAGGCGAAGCTGGCTGTTGCAGCTGATGTTCAAGGTGCATCTCAAACATTGTGTCCTTTGAGTGTAAGGGCGATGCAGATTTAAAAGACTGTTGATACTGGCCTGCTTTTCTTAGAGGATTGTTTCTATCAACATTTGATCTTAAGCCATTTTCCTCTAGCCTCTGAGTTTCCATCATCCAGTTTTCTTCTGAATGTGTGAGGTCTGCTGGAAAGAAGGATATTTTTAACTTTATGCGAGTACGTTTGGCAACGGTTTCATATTTTTCTATCGAGTGTAATAGGAAAATAATAAGGGGAAGTTATGTACGTTGACAAAGTTTTATATTAATTGCGATTCATTATTGTTAACTCGGATGAAAGGAAATTTGATGTTTTTAAAAGTATTTTTGTGTGTAAAATCCGAATTTTTTGGATAACAAGATGAAAGCCATTGTGGTAAACTGTGCATATAGTTTCTGCTTTACTGCATTACTATGCATGTATATACTCTTATCATTAGCATATGCAGTGAAAAACTATTTCAGATTTGTGATGAATCAATTACTGATGTCTGGGGTTCAAAACCTTACGTCGAAAACAAATATAATCAGTAGTGATAAAAATATGATTTTTCGATGGCTGAAGATAAGAGTTTTTTCAAAATTTAATTTTCCTTTTACTGTTTTACCCCACTGATACCGTTTCGTTTAATACTACCGTATGGCTAAGTGTTCGTTATTCGCTGTGTGCAGTAATCTAAAACAGCGCTACCTGCACGGCAAGAAAGAGACGATGCTGGATAACATGATTACATAGCCAGTTGTATACTTTCAATACTTTAAGTATGGATTTTCAGTGTTAAGAAGTTGCATTAAGCAGAAAACAATTTTTTGTTGCATTATTGACTTTTTGTTTTTTTATCTATAGAATCTTAATTTTTATCTGTTCAAAACAATTTCTTGGCAATATAAATCGGTATTTAAAGTATCAAAAATCCATTAAAACTACAAAAAATAATTAACAAAGTTTGCAGCCTACAACAGGCTATGTAATCGTGTTATCCAGCATCGCCGATCACCTGAGGTCACCTCATTTTCACGTCCTTCTAATCGTGCAGGTGGCGCTATGTTAGATTACTGCACGTAGCGAATATGCTACACTATTCGTTCTATGCACATTGCATAAAAAATTGGAACTTCGATACCTAAAATCACATTAAAAATACATGTATTAATCTGAAACTAGTTCCAAATCCATGTTATTAGTACTAAAGTGGGTCTAGAGGATCAGCGCATCAATAATTCATTCCTACCTAAGTTTTATTAACTATTTTTACACTTTCCAAAAATTTTCGTCCACATAAACGTCAAAATTGAGGTTACGTTCCATAAGAGCTTATGTCAGTCACATAGTTTTCATTTGTATGATTCTTTTAAAAGTTACCTACAAACAATATTTAGAAAATTTATACAAGTTCGGTATATTTTAGATTATCAAGAGAAGTCAATATTATCATGATCCCTGGCTCTTATTGTAACTTTCGAACCTCGATAAACAATTGCAGGAACCAAAAAACTGAAACGGTTTTAGGTTTGTAAGAAACGTCAAGTTTTCTCTAATGGCCACAAAGACCTTATCAGGTACCGAATTATGTAGTCTAAAGAATAAGAATTTAGTTATTATCCATCGACTTTGAATCTTATTAGACAAGAATCACAAGAAGTCTCGATTATGTGCACGCGTACTACATACTAACTCACGTTATATAAAATTCTTCGACCACCCATATTATAAGATATAGTATATTACGCATCTAGTGAGCGAGGTTAAGAAGAATGTCGCAGATTTCACGTGAATAAACGTGAAATCTAGGACATTTCTTAACCTCCGAACGTGGTGCGTATTAGTATATTACTTACCTAGGGAGGAAAAATAAAGAATGTCTCAGATCGCAGGCAATTGACGGATAAGCATGCGATGGGATTCTTTGTTTCCTCCCTTTGGTTGTTTACGATTTTTCATCAATCCTGCGCCGAGAGAAGGGATTTTCGTTCCACGAAGCGGAACGAAAGTTTCTACTTTCGGTGCAGTGTAATGAAAACTATTTTTCTGCATACCCTCGCCGAGAGAGCTGATTATCTGTTTTGGAGCAGGTCAGATATGAATCCCTTTCGGTGGGGGTATGCAAAAAAATATATTTTTTTCATACCCTGAATATTATCAGGAAAATAGGTTTTCCATGTGAGAGTATCAAAAAACAGCATTATTACCATCATTCCTTACAGCCCTTCTTGAAGCCTGAGAGAAATCTGCGTTTGCGTTGTAGGAATCCACGGTTCTGTAGCGACTTTGAGGTTTGAGTCTCTCTCCGTAATCCACCGTCAAATATCCGATGTGATTGTCAGGCACAGCGTTCGACTGATTGATAGTAAAGTCTCTTCTGGTTGCAGTGGGCGAGTAAGCCTGACAATCTTCGTAATTATTATTCGTAGAAAGTTTGTTTTTCTGTAGATAATTCGGCTCCCACGACTTTTTATGGCTTTTTGACTTGATCGAATCAGTAGTTCTACTGCTGCTGCCTGATTCACTGCTATCAAACGAGCGATTTGATGCGGCAATCAGTTCACTACGCGTTGGTGTCGGAGGCGCTTGTTCGGTGGGCAACGCCATGAGGTTCTCTTCGTTCCTTGGCGATCCATAAATCATTCCATTTGTTTGTACCATATTGCTTAGACTCTCGGTAATATTGCGATGCTGAACGTGCACGTGATCATTGTTCAGAGGAGTAAATCTTGCAGGGTTACTATTATTGTTGTAATTGTTACTGGAGGAATTCTGACATTCTTCTTGACGAGCCAGCATGAACTCCTCCAAAGTCATAGCACCTTGCAATTCTTCTGGTCGTTGATTACGATTACTTCGAAGTCTGGGTAATACATATACTTCATTATAATTTTTATAAATCAGGGTAAGTGACCTTATTACCGTAGTCTGCACCGTTACCATAAATTATAAGAAAACTGTCGGTGAATTATTCTATAATTCGTGTTTTTAGTTAACTGTAACTTCTAATAAGAAAGAGTTAAAAAAAAAAAATTATTTTATTTCTGAAGTAAGTGGCATCTATACATGGTATCCAGGTACTTGCGCTTATGTCAAATAATCGCGTACGTGGACCGTAATGAGTAAACATACAGTCTCTGATACAGTAAACGTAACCTATCTACATACTTAGTTCATAATTGATAGTAACGAAAATGTTAATTACTTAAAAAAGTTAGTAAATTATTGATTAGTCGTTCTTTTCTTTGTACAAAATAAAAAATTACACAGTGCATTTTTATTCACGGTGTTTGGAACACAGTAATTAGTACAACCGTGGTAAATGGTACACAGTAACAGATACATAACCACGGTAATACCAGCATAATAGTTTTATTCATTTTTACAACAGTAAAATTAGTTTTTAATAGCAAAATGTTAGATGTATTGTTGGCGCTCGTAACTAAATTATTGCGCATGCGCAGCAGCGGGAGGACGAGACGCTGTGACGCTGCACTTCAGCATCAAGTAGCTTCGGTTTTTGTTCACTCTCGCGCAGTCAGCCAGTCTGTTAATACACGCATTCTCTGCCTTCGCATTTCTCTTTACGTTTTAGTTTACTTTTTCTGTTCGCTTAACTTTTGTACTTAAGATAGTAAAGTATAAAGATAGTCCAAACTTAAGATAGTGTAAATAAACGTGTTTAATATAATTCTATATTTCAAGTGTGTTTTTATTCGCCACGTCGCCTGCCTAATCCCATACTGCTAACAGGTTATGGGCCCTAAATGGTAGTGTGGGTGAAGAATCTGTTCGATCGCGTCTTTTGTTTCTCTTTTTCCCTTTTCTGCTCCGCGCTCGAGCTTATCGCGCGTCCCCTGTGTGCCTTCTTTTCATCTTTTTGTTTACGTGAAAACGTAATGGCGGAAGCAACCGAGAGCTCTGTGTCGGGCAGCGAGCACTGCGAGACGGAAGAGCTTGGCAGTCCTCTCACCCCGACTACCACCGAAGCGGCAGAGGGACGGCCCCAGGAGGCAGCAGAGCAGAATCGGGATGGAGGCGCAGCGGCCGAGTCACCTCGAGATGCGGACGTCGCCTCTACTCTCGAGGCTTCCGGCGGAGCTGTAGGAAGGGTGGAAATTAAGAAGAGAGTGAGCAGCAGTAAGTACTAGAAATAGATATTGCTTTGAAGACTCGGTAATTACGTGAAGTGTTGTTATCGTTAAGTCACGTTCGCTTACAATTTCTAAAGACAAAGATTGGTGTCTTGCCTTAAGATAGAGCAAGACAGCTCACTTAAGATTGCATGATTGATACTCCCTTGGTTAGTAGGCCTTCCTTTGTTTTTACGGAGATTCGCAGAACTCGAGAGAGCCGGCACGCGTTTGTTTATGTGAGGGAGAGGCCCGCATCGTGACAAAGGAAGCGCGTTTCTTGATAAACCTGCCAGTCACCGCCAAGGGGGACGCCTCGAGGCGAGGAGGGGATGCGCGCTTTGGTTATGGCTTGCGTTCGGCCGAACTGAGTGTGCGCGTCCTCTCACGCTACGGCTGGTGGCGCGCGTCGTAGTAAACGATGTTGATCGGCCATTTTAATTCTCTCTCTCTATGCATGTCACACATGATGCTAGCGCCATTTTCCCTCGCACTTGCTTACGCCCGATCTCCGTGTCACTTCAACAAGAAAACTAATAGCCTAATGCGCACGCAAATAAAATATAAAATACTTTTACCTATTTATTCCCTGTTAATTTTAGGTCAAAATGCCCTCAATATGCTAAATGATGCATATAAAAAGATTGAAGACGATCTAGGGGAACTAGACGAGGTGGTAGTAACTCGTAAAAACAACCAGGCCATATTTTCCGTAAATAATGAAACTGTTGCATACATGGGAGGAGATGCACATCACAATCAAGATATGTTAGACCTGTTTAACTTGATAGAAAAATGTGCTGGGAAAATTCGACTCGTCCACAAACAGCGTATCCAAAGCAAAGGTCCTAAAGATAGAAAAATAAATTTGATTGATACCTCATCTAAAGATAAGAATAAAGACTTGAAAGATAGTAAAATAAATTTGATTGATACCTCATCTAAAGATAAGAATAAAGGCCCTAAAGATAGAAAAATTAATTCGAGTAATGACTCATCAAAAGATAAGAATAAAGATGTGAGAGATAGAAAGAAAAATTTTACTGATATTTCAACTCCTAATAAGGTTAAAGATTTGAAAAGCAAAAATTTAGATTCAATTGATAGCCAATTTAAAGACCTGCAAAATAGGAAAGATAACCTGAAGAAAGAGCTAGATAGCCTACATAAAGAAATGGCGCATGCAAATTATGAACTTAAGAAAGAACTAATGAAAAGAACCGGTCAAAACATCAAACCTAAAGAAATTATATACTCACGAAAAGAAATTACAGAAGCCTCAAAGAAAGACATCGAGGAGATCAGGAAGCTGATACAACAAGAAAGGCATCAGCAGAGCTCCTGGATGTCGATGAGGTTTGAGGTTGTTGCCTCACAACATAAGAAGGCCCTGGAAAAGGAAAGAGAGGAAAATAGGAGGGCTCAAGAGACGATTCGAGCTGAGTTTGAGCAGCGTCTGGCCACCCAACAAAGACAAATGGAGGCTCTTGAGCGAGAACTGGCCAGGAGTCGAATACAAAAGGTAAATAAATTTACTACATCTACTCCAGGACCTAAATTAAGTAAACAATTGATAAATCTAAACTCCGACTCCATTGATAATACGCTGACGTTTGAACGCGCTGCGCCTAATGATAGTCTAAAGATAGAAGTCATTAATAAAGATAGCCTAGGGTGTTTTAATTATTCCCTCACTAATGCAACAAAACTAGAATTATTCTTAAAACAATTGCAGTCCGAACTAAAAAGTAAAAAATTGCTTCACACAATTGACTCAAAACTGGAAGCAACTATGAATATTACCCAAGAAAAAATGGAAGAAGATAAAGAACAGGCCCTAAACGTAATACTAGGTAGGTTGTCCCTAGATTACCAAAACAAAGTATATCACATTACTGATCCATCAACAATGATACAAAAAATTAAAGATATTAAAAGGGGTGACATAAAAATGAGCGCATATCAAATACGTAACAAAATACATTCCGTTAGATTTGACCCCAAAAAGCAAAGTGCTACTAAATTTTGTGAATTTTTTGATGGATTGGTAAGAGATTTTGAATTAATTAGCAAAACTAACAGTTTCCCTGAAGATGAGAAAAGAGATAGTTTCTATCATGCAATTATCGATGGAGTACCGGACGTAAAAATAGCCGATTTTAACAGGCTGTTTGAAAGCGAGGATGGCTTGTCTTTTAAGTACTTAAGACAATATATCCTGAAACAGGAATCAGAAGGGTCACTTCCAAGACCAACAACGGGTAGTGGAGCAAGCCGAGGTGGGGCGAATGCAGGTCCGAGTCGAGGTGGGACCGGGACCAGTGCTGGGCCAAGCCGAGGTGGGGCAGGCTCGAGACTAGCCACTAACGTAGCTGCTGCTAACGTGGCCACCGCCAGCACTCTATGCTACGAGTGCAACGACAACGGGCACTACGCAAGGGACTGCCCGAAAAAAGGGCAGAACCTTAGGCGGTGCTACACCTGCCAACGGTTCGTGCAGAACCTGCGAGAGCACATAGGGAGGTGCAGAGGTAATTCAAACAAAAATAACGATTGGGATTTTAAACGCAATACTGGTGGTGGTAACAATAAAAATAACTTTAAAGATAGTAATAAACGGAAGCATGAAAAACAGCATACAAATCATAACAACAAGAAAGCCAAGGTCGATAACAAGAAACAAGGCGAAGAAGGTAATAATAATGTAGAAATACTTAGGTCTAATGCATGCAGTGGTTTGTTTGCTGTTAACCCCGAAACTTTGCTCTCTACGCGCGCGGAGGAAACACTAGATAACGGTTGCAAGAAAATTGAGTTCGTAGCAGATTCAGGCGCCACAGAACATTTTGCTAATTCTAAACTCTATTTCAAAAATTTTAATGGATGTAAAAATAAATTAATTAAATGCGCGAACAAAGATTCCTCCGCGGACTTGAGAGCGGAGGGAGAAGGGTGCGTTTCGGGTAAAAATAACCAAAACAAGATAATCCTAGATAGAGTTGTATGCGCTAAGGCACTCGCTGGAAACTTGCTGTCGCTTCGCCGTTTTGCTGAAAGGGGCATGAGTATATACCTTGATAACACAAAACTAGATATATTTGATCCGCGTTCTAATGAAACTATAATTTCTGGTGTCTACAAGAGCCCTTACTGGATAGTAGAACTACTGCAAGATGGCCAGAGCACAAGTAATAATGAGAAGTGCAAAGAAATTATAGACTGCTTAATGGTAGAAAATCCCCTGAAAGCAAAGACTGAGAAGGTTCAGCAAGTCAGCACTAATGATAGGAGCTGCCCTGGAATCTCAAGTAATGAATCAGGAAGAGCTGGTTCACACAGCTCTCATCAGAGTGAGTTTAAGAAAACAATTAAAGATAGAAAAATCAATAATTGTGATGACCTTATGATTGGTGAGATTCCAGAAGCTCAAAGCCCGTTTACAGAAAAGTACAGAAAATTTGAGAGAAATAACAGAGCCATGCTCTGGCATGTAAGATTCGGACATGCCTCAGCAGAATATCTCAAGGCACTACAAAGAAAATATCCGGACAATAAAGATTTGAATAAGGCCATCTTCGACAGCTTCATTACAACATGCGAGGTGTGCCAAGTCGCTAAAATCAAGAGATTGCCTTTCAGTACTAAAAGAGATAGGGCAACCAAACCACTTGAGATAGTTCATGCTGATACAATGGGACCGATTAGCCCAGCTACTTATCCTAAAGGATATAAATTTATAATCGTCTACACGGATGACTACTCAAGATTGACTATGGCATACCCAGTGAAGACAAAATGTGAAGCGGGACGTTGTCTGGACAATTTTGTGACAAGCGCACGAAACCTGTTAGGTTTTGATGCAAAGATATGCTATCTTCGAACCGATCAAGGCACGGAGTTTACAGGAGGCCAAACGGTAGAAGTTCTCCAGAGGTTGGGAGCAGAACTTCAGTTGGCCTGTCCAGACACTCCTCAGCACAATGGAGTCTCGGAACGGGTTAATCGTACCTTGCAAAACAAAGTGCGAGCCTACATGTACGACTCCGGGCTCAGGGAGAACATGTGGGACTTAGCCCTGGGTAGTGCAGTATATGCCTACAATCGGACACCTCACCGGTCTAACGATATGATAGCCCCTTTAGGAAAGTTTGCGCCCAATCTGAAGATAGACATAACCCAAATCAGAAGATTTGGCTGCGTCGCTTTTATCAAGATACAAAGGAATACTGGAATCAAATTCGGTCCACAAGGGATACGAGTCGTGCTGGTTGGTTATACCCCCACTGGCTTTTCTTTCTTAAGACCTGAAGATGGAAAACTCTATGAGAGTCGAGACGTAAAATTCCAAGAAAGACTGGTGTTCAGAGATATCTGGGGAAAGGACAAAATAGCAAACTGGGGAAACCACAAGACAGATATTAAACAAGATGAATGGTTCGTTAAGTTTGATAAGACTAGCCCTAAAGAATCATTGGAAACGGAGGGAGAACCAGTGGTCAAGAGAAAGCGCGGTCGGCCCAAGAAAGTTGAAGATCTTGATCAAGAAAGCCCTAAGCAACTCGCTAGAATAAATGATACGAGTTTTGCAGGAGCCATCGACACAAACAAGTTGAATAAATTGCTCCAATCGAAGGGCGATGTTGACTGTTTAATCGCAGAAGTTGAAGATGAAATGTCACATGCCCTGATTGCTGGACTAAACAAAGATCCCGCAAACTACAAAGAAGCTATCGCATCTCCGGATCGCGATAAATGGCTCAGAGCAATTGATGAAGAACTGGAATCAATGCGGAAAAATCAAGTGTGGAAACTTGTAGAAAGACCAACCGTGAACGCTGAAGGTGGCAAGCCCAACATCATCGACTCTAGGTGGGTTCTGAAGAAAAAAATAGATAAAGATGGAAACACGAAGTTCAAAGCGAGGTTGGTGATTCGTGGCTTCAAAGATAAGAACAAGTACGATCTGCAAGAAACCTATGCCCCGGTGTCTGGGCTGGCCCTGGTAAGATCAGTAATATCAATAATAAATAGATACAATCTGGAGACTTGCCAACTTGATGTCAAGACAGCTTTCTTAAATGGATCTATCAAAGAAGAGATATATATGGAGATTCCTGAAGGCCTGCTTGATGGTGACAGTTTCAAGAAAGCTCAGGTTTGTAAATTGGAAAAAGCCCTTTATGGACTTAAGATCAGCCCAAAAAGATGGAATGAGCGGTTTCGCGAGACTGCATCTAAATTAGGACTACGGTCACATACGAGTGAGCCCTGTCTATATACATGGAGAGAAGCCAATAACTTTCTAGTCCTGATCCTATACGTGGATGATATGATGATAGCCAGCAATTGTGCAGTCAAAATGAATGAAATTAAGACTGGTCTGCAATCTGAGTTTGAGATGTCAGATCTTGGCGAGGTTGGCACATTTCTAGGCATCAAAGTGGAAAGAGATAGAAAACTTCACACAATTTCACTGACACAAACACCATACATAGATAAAATGTTAGAGAAATTTGGATTCAATGAGTCAAAACCCCAAAGAACACCAATGGTGACAAATCAAGTTTTGAATCGGCAAAGAAAAGATAGAGAAGATTCTGAAGATGCTGGAGAGTTGAGCACAACGATAACGAGAATAAATGTGCCGTACAGAGAAGCAGTCGGTAGTCTGCTGTATTTAGCCAACACAATTAGACCAGACATTTCATACTCGGTGAACGTACTGAGTAGACATCAAATCGACCCAACTGAAGATGATTGGAAAATGGTCAAACGGGTATTTCGATATTTACAACACACAAGGATCCTAGGATTAACTTACAGAGGCCGTAAAGATGGATTGGAAGCCTATTCAGATGCGAGTTTGGCAGACTGTAAAGGCTCAATAACAACAGGCGGATATCTCCTAAGACTGTATGGGGATACAGTTGCTTGGAAAACAAGAAAGCAGAATTATGTTGCTATTTCAACCTGCGAAGCAGAATATGTGGCAATGTGCGACGCAAGTCAAGAATTGATTGGACTGGAACACTCTATAAGTATTATATTGTCTCGCACCTTGTTGCCCGCGGATTTATGGTGTGACAACAAAGCTGCCGGAGCAAGTGCTAAGATAGATGGTGGCAAAAGGCTGAGACACATGACCGAGATAAAGGCTCACTACGTTAAGGAATGTGTATCCAGAGGAAAAATAATTGTTAAATGGATTCCATCCAAGGAACAACTAGCAGATATCTTTACAAAACCCCTGCCGTTTGAACTGCATGAAAGACTAACGAAAGAAATTTTGAATGTTAATTAGCGTAAAATGCATGATAATTAAATTTGAACTTGAGATAGTAAAATTAGTAAATTAATAATAGATAGATAATGATGGTAGACATGCTGATTAATGTATTTTCTGTGTATGTTTTAGCTCGTCGGAATCAACCACAATGAGTGATCCAGAAGCCCACGTGCTCCACATCATTGGCTGATTAAAACTCATTTATATTCAGTGTTCATGTTAAAATATATCCTTTCTTTCATTTTTATAAATTCAGATACGAACGGGAGGGAGTGTTAGATGTATTGTTGGCGCTCGTAACTGAATTATTGCGCATGCGCAGCAGCGGGAGGACGAGACGCTGTGACGCTGCACTTCAGCATCAAGTAGCTTCGGTTTTTGTTCACTCTCGCGCAGTCAGCCAGTCTGTTCATACACGCATTCTCTGCCTTCGCATTTCTCTTTACGTTTTAGTTTACTTTTTCTGTTCGCTTAACTTTTGTACTCAAGATAGTAAAGTATAAAGATAGTCCAAACTTAAGATAGTGTAAATAAACGTGTTTAATATAATTCTATATTTCAAGTGTGTTTTTATTCGCCAAGTCACCTGCCTAATCCCATACTGCTAACACAAAACTTTTTTTGAATAATCTTTTAGAGTGTAGCTACGGTAATACGGTAACTTACGGTATAAGTGCAAATTAGACAATCATGAAACTTTCCCCATTTAAAGTAACATTTTCAATAATCAGGTATAGCTTCAGTAATTTTAATAATTTACCGTTCAGAAGTTTGTCTGTAGTCACCCATGTCTTGAGAAGAATTCAGGACATCTGTAGCGCTTTGGGATGCATTAAGGCCATAAAAAGTACTGCTAGCGACGGTTACTTGTAAATCTGGTGAACTAAGTTTTTCATTTCTTCTGAAAAAAATCAAACATTCTGTAGGTTGCCGAATGAGCGTATTTCGTGTAGGATTAAATTAAGTAATCGTTTTAAACCTATTTGGAGTTGAGGATGGCAAAACCCTTCTGTAACTTCTGAATTGAGCAGTAGGAACTGGAACATTTTGAGTTCTGGATCCCAAAAATTTTAAATATTTTCTATCTAAACTTGCAGCACTCATTTCGGAGTCTTTGGGACTAGTAGAATCTTTTTTGCCTAACATTTTGCTTAACGAGTTGAAAGATTTTTCAGATGACGGTTTCGACTCTGATGTTGAACCTTTTGTTTTGCTCTTATTTTCTCCGTCACTCTCGTCTGTCTCGCTGAACAAGCCACTTGTCCTCTCAGCGCCAAGGGTCGCCCGGTTTATGGCGTCTAACCACAGCACAAGCGTGTCCTCGTTTTCTGCCGCAAAGTAAAACATGGTACCAGTATAATAGACTTTAAAAGAGTGTTTTCTAGACTTTATTTCTGGTGCCTGGGAGGCCGTAAACCCTGACAACGCAATAAGACACTCTGCTTTGGTACTGTCTTGGTTTTTAAATCTGCAACATAAGATCAATTTTTGATTGACTCTCCAAAAATTCATTACTCAGTAAGATTTACATAAAATACGTATAAAACATAACGTATTTATCAATGACATTCTGTTTCCCATAGTCCAACCCTATAAAATAAAAGGTCTACCTGTATAACGATGCTCCTTTTAGTACGAACCACGCTTTATTCCATGCTCCACCAGCACCTCGGCTTCGATAAATCAACCAACTCTCCAAATCGCTTGGTGAAATATCTTTGACCGCTACATTTCTTCGTTCTGAAAGAATATAAAATTTAATTTTGTCATCACGTTGTTTAACTATTGATTAATCCACCATTAGGCTACCAATACTGTTACACTGTACGTACTAGCTAAATTAGTTGTTCGCTTTCTGATACTTCTCGGGCTATTACTCGACTTGACAGCGTTTCCATGTAGACCCATACTCCTTGCGACCATCATGGCACGATTAACAACACCTTTTTCGTGTGATTTATCTTTTTCCAAGCTCCTGGTTTTGTTTTCAATTGGTAAAGCTTGTTGACGTGAATAGCATAACCCATCAGCAGTGTCGATATTTTGTGGTCTATATTCATGCTTTCCAAGTTCACTGGAGGCATGGCTACTGGTACTACTAGTTGCAATGAGCGATTTGCTGGGACTAGCTGGGTTACCGGGAATCTCAGTGTAACCGTAAGGATCAACAAAAGAATTCGAGGCGACCGTCTTGTTGGACTCGGGTTGTCGTGGCGTATTCGGTTCATCGATAAAATCCGTTGACCTCTCCGCAAAGTCCGTGTAAGTTTCTAATCGTTCATTTTTGTGACGTTGATCCTGATTCAAAATATCACTTCTGGAGTGCACTTCTGGCGGATGCTGACTTTTCGGCTGAACTTCAAGAGCAGTGTCATTTTTCTTTAGATCTTGTTTCACACTCGACCTTTTTGGGACCTTAGGCCTCTCCTGTAGATTACGTTTTATGTTCGTTACGTTTGATTTCTCAATAAAACGATATTACTTGCTACAAAATTTTAGTTTTTTTTTTAAAGATCCACACAATTAAAAGCGTAGATGATTTTTTAAATATTTAATTCTGTGTTATTTCTTTATGGACTCTGAGTCTCACTTAAAACATTTTTTGTTGGTCTTTGCATAAATAATATCAGTATCAAATATATAACAGTATGTAACACAAGCTATTTTGAGAGTAATGGAATTGCCACTGAAGGTTTGACAAATAATGCGGAGAAGTACTTTTTGATAAGTTGGTTAATTTAACAGGAGTACGGTCTCCAGAAGGTTTGAGCTTAGAAAAGTAATGTTAAAAATAAAAGAAATTGCAGAAATCTTTTTGTTATTAATGGTACATGAAGAACATGCCAACATTAAAAGAAGAAAATTAGTTGAGGAAGTCAAAGAAAATATGTTACCGAAAGTACATAGAAAAAAGGGATATTTATTAGGGGTCGTACCCAAATGCCGTAGACAGTTTTAGGGGGAGGGGGGGTTTGGTTGAAGCATACGGATGTTTACGGTACGGGAGAGGTGGGAGGGGCAGGTAATACGTTTATGTGTGTCAAAATACTCTTTTTTATTCTAAAATACTAGCTTTTAAACTATTTTTATCTAGTAGTTGACGTGAAAAAATTTTTTGTTTAATTCAAAGTCACTTCTTTTGAAATTCTAAGCTATTAATATTCCAAACGAGTTAAAAAATATTTACTTCTCTTAATATGCGGTTACAAACATGCTTTTTTTATCTCATTTGACTATTTAAATATAAATTTTGAGGGAAACGTATTGAAAAATACTGCTTTTGATTGCAAAAATTATTCATAAACAAATAAGAAAATCAGCATTTTGCTGAGAAATATGATTTTTTTTACATCTGCTGTTTTAGGCAACAAAGCTACCAAAAAATTTTTGAAGGCGGCATAGGTTTTGAATATTAAAATCATTAAAACAAAATTTTTTTAAATCATATTATTATGAAACTTGCTGTGTACTAATAACCTTCGTAGTTTTATCTCAAGAATTTAAATATTAATACTACGATGCAGAAAATATACAGTCACTAATGGTAATGGATAAAAATTTTGTAATAATTTAATAAATCACTATTTGTTATCATACGAATTGTTTTTTTGAAGTATTTTGATATTAACCATTGTCAAAAGATATCAATCATAACATAAACAGATAATTTATTAGATTTTACGTATATGTATACTAAATGCATGTTAATAAAAATATATTGTCCGTCGAGCCAGGGATTTGATCGGGGCATTCGATATCTCGCTCAAGTAAGTAAGCAGTTTTTTCGATAATCCCTAAACTACTCATGCGCATTATCGTTATTTTTGGTTATTTTATGGGGATAATCGAAAAACCGGTTACTTGATCGAGATATCGAATGCCCCGGTCAGACCCCTGTACGGCGTAACACATTTTTACGAGGTTGGTTTTAAACAACTTTCTATCCAAAATCTTTGTATGAAATGTTGTGTACATAAATTATTAATGAATGATGATGAATTGAAATAAAAAAGTATAATAACGGTGAATAAATAATCATAAGATTTTGATGGTTTTGAGTTCCCAAATGAAGACTAAAACTAATAGTTTGAAAATGAAAATAAAAATATATTGTAAAACTTTTTATAAAACGTACAAGAAACTACACGTTTTAAGAAGTTTTTTCAAATTATTAAAGACCATTCCACTAATACTGAAATTTTAATACAAGCGTTAAAACAGGGTTTTATCAATTTGACATAAAACTGACAAGAAAGTAAGGTATGAGCCTCCTAAACGTCAATATTGTGCACAAAACAGAAATGACAGTAAAATTGAGTACTTAATATTATAGTTGATTTCAATAGAGTCGATTTTTACCCACCTGATGTTGCGTATGATGATCTCTCGGGCTATGATTCACAGATTGCTGATACTGACAAACATTAATGTTAAGTGGTGGCGGTTTTACATTGTACTTTCTTGGGGGTGGTTCAGGAGGCGTTGTTCTTGGCTTCACTTCCGGCTTAAGGACCACCTCTCTTCGTGGAGTATCCGGTCGAGTAGGCAAAGGCACTGGACTACTGGATGCTGGGGACGTCGGATACTTGGTACCGATGTTTTCGACTAGAGCACTTTTTTGAACGTGAATGTTTGGTGACAGAGCTCTGACCATTTCGTCCCGCTGATTAACAGCGTCTATGCTATAGACTGTAGATTCGACATCATGTTGAGGATCTTTCTCCAAACCATTTGACTCGGTATTTTCTATTAGCCTCGTTTTCTCGAGCAGGGCACTGTTAATGGTCTCTACAATACCACTTGAAAGATTTTTGATATCAACACTGCTATCGCTGCTGATCGTCGAGTTTGCCTTGACATAGCTACTCGTTGACTCGGATTTGTCATCGCTACTCTCCCTGCTCAACTCAGGGGAACGGTCAGCGGTGGTACTATCGTTGGTCACTTCGCACTTCATTTTCGACTTCGTATCGTACGTGTCGCTGGAGAAAAAGTTGCTCTCATCGTCAGTGTCCAGGTCTGTCGTTATGTTACCGGAGTCGTCTTCTAACTCGTCCAAGTGGTCGCTGACGTCGACATCGTTTATTTGAATGTGTACGTTACTCCTTATCGGATTATTTGTTCCGAAAGGCTTTGAAGAACTTTTTTCAAAGAGCTTTTCGTTGCTGAAAAAAAAAGTTTAATCGACCATCAGAAACTGCATACATTGATCAGTAACTTGGTGTAATAGTCGAGTGATTGATGTTTACAACTCGATAAAAACATACATTCTATTATTTTAACTATGTAAAAAAAAATCATTCACAAAACATCATTAACATCAACTATAAGGTGAAGTTTACCTATGGTTATTGAGATTCCTCTCGAAATCGCTGATTTTCCGCGCTACGTTGCCGATCCCGATTACTTTGGGTACGGGAAAATCCGGTACGATCGGTCTGCCGTGCTCCTCCAGATCTTCCACGGAATCGAACAAGCGGGAGTCGGTCTTGGCCGAGTTTTCGCTCTTACCGGCAGCGGCTCTCGCTTGTAGCTGCTGTTTGTGATGTTCGTCAAGGGCTGCCTCGAATTTCTTCTCGATGAAGTCGTCATCTGACTCTGTAAGATCGTAAGCCGGAGTACTGAAACTCTTATCGAGTCTACCACGCTCTTTGGTGCTTGCTGATTCCCGCGCAGGAGATAATGGAGGATGACTCTTTTCGCAACTCTCGCCCTCTTGGTCAGCCGCCTGCTGACGATCCCTCGAAATCACCTCGTCATTTAGTTTTTCGTTATTGCTTCTTGTACCGACTGATATATCGTCCATCGTTTCATGATGATGATTCTTACAACCTAGAAGCGTAAATTCCAGTCTATCAAAGTTTATTCTGCATCAGTTACATCGAATCTTACGATATTTTTTTACGATTCTTTCGTATGATACTTTTAATAACGGTAAGAGCAGAGAGTTTTCGAAAGAACGTTACGAATTTCGTTTTTGACTAGAGTTTTTATTTCAAATTTAAGAGAAAACGTTATTAAAAGGTTTTTAATTGCGTTCAGCTCTGGGCGTTGAAAAAACAATTGAAATAAATCGATACAAATTAAAGTGATAAACACCGTTGGCCAACAGTATCATCAGCAACCAAATAAATGTCACAGCTACAAGAACGAATAAATAATGCACGCATTGAGAAATCCGTGATAAAACAAATAGCTCACAACAAAGAAAGAAAAAAGAAGAAGATCGGAGCGTGCAGTTACCACCATGAGCAATTATAAATACAAAGTAAAGATGACTCACGTGAAACGTTAGTGTCTTCCCGCCCATCGGAGCCATCGTCGTTCAAAAGCCCATCCCGACTGTGTAATTCTTCATCCTTTCCTTCCTGGAACTTGACCTTCCGCGGCTTGCCCAGCATGGAGCGCTGCTCAATTCCCAGACAGGTCTGCGGTCGCATGGATGGCTGCGACTGGTGAGCTTCCGGCGCATTCAGGCCTTGGGCGCAGGACACGGCTTTGTCGCGTAGTTGAAAGCTCTGCGTGCTCTGCTCGCGCTTGAGCTCGCGCCAGAACTTTTCGATGTTGACCCGACTGTGCTTGGCCGTGGGCGAGGCTCCGGTTATTGTAGCTCTCCTTTGCACCAGATTCCGGGGCTTCGTCGAGTACAACCGTACCGCCGATCGAGAGCCACACTCGCTGCCGTCGTCAGACTCGTCCCCGGCGCTGCTCCCGCTGTCGTCCATCGTCATGGCGTCCAGCATCGAAGCCGTGCTCAGGATCGTAGCTGGTTTTTGTGCATCCACTTTTTTCACGTGCCTACAGTAGTCGAATACACATATTGCGCGTGGATAAAATGTTCCTTTATCTTTATCTTTATTTTTTGACCGTCGGAGTTGAAACTCTTGGTACGTTTATTTTTTTTTTTTTTTAGAAACTTTCGTGCATGCAATAAGACTCATCGAGAGTTATCCAAGAACCACGAAAAGAAAAGACTCTTATGAAATGGACTTACTTTGGTAGTGGCATAACGAAATCGGGTATTGTCAACAGTTCTGGCCTCGGAGAGGGTAAGTTGTGCTCCCATCGCGTTAGGTTCTTGTTGCTTGGTGGTAATCGCATTGGCTTGATGTATATTTGGCCATAGACCGTCGTGTGTCGTGGTCTTCGTTTTAGCGTTAAACAGAGATCAACGGGACTATCGCGAATCAGTTCCAGCACATTTTTTTGCTCCCATCCAACTACAGTCTGATAATTGACCTGCAAAGATGAGTCAGCAAAATCATTATTTACGGAACGGTGATGAAGAGGTTTAGATTTCTCGCGATGTTGCGAAACTAAATTTCCATGCAACTTTAACGAACTATTGTACGTTTATTGAATCATCAACTAAAAGTAGTTTTAGCATTTATCATACGTGTTTTTACCTGCACTACTTCATCGCCTTCTTCCATTTTTCCACACTGATGGGCAGCTGATCCCAATTTAATTTCCGCGACTTGATGGGCCCCATGGATAGATGGAAGGATACAAAAACCCTAAAATTTAATTCCATGATGAGCAAAGGAATAAACTGGCAAACTTCAACTGAACGGAGTACAGCACGTATCAAGTTTATCATCACGAAAGGAAGCGACGTTTTGGCACAATTGAATTGATATAAAAAGAGAGGAGATATTAGTTATCTTTAGTTGCTCTACAAAACCACAACTACAGAAAATAATGGAAAGAAGAGATTTTACTAAATGATGATAGTATTAACGTTAGGTATTTTTTTTTTTTTTTACTTAATAATAGAAATATAACACTTTTGCATTATTGTGAAAGTACACTATTTTTTATTGTAAACGTTAAAAAAGTTAGTAATATATACTAAATATGGGTTTTCATGTTAAATTTGAAATATTCAACCAGTAATCTTTTTAATTTTTAGAATTCGAAGAAGAATTTTTATTTTTAGTATTTTATAAACAATTTCTTTAAGATTCACTTGAACTTTTCATAATTGTTTCAGGCATAAACTAACGCGAGTTGTAATCATTACTGTATACAGGAGTTCTAATCTTTGATTGTAAGATCTTCCATGATACATAAAAAATCTAGAACAAGTGGAAAAGTGATTGTTTAACGATCTTCAGTATTATGTTAATATTGTTTTTGACGTTTTGGTAAAAAATGTAGTAATTCGATGACTTTTTAGTAAATGCCAAAAAATGTGTTAAGTCAATGATATCAAGAAAAATAACTAATCAATCGGATTTTCAATCATTGAAATGTGTTGAAATAGTTTTCGTCATAGAACCGCCATCGCCGCAGGGGTTTTTTGTGGCCAAAGTAATTGGTGGGTAGCACCGGTCAAATAGCACTTATGTACCGAATATCATTTTTTCTACCACGGGCGCATTACGAAAAATGCTTCGAGGTTGAAAAAACTTTTCAAGTAATCAGATAACATTTTATACAAATTTTACCAAATCATCTCCAGACTTCTTCTTCAAACGCGCGACATCCAAAGTTGAGGGCTGCAGTATCATTGGATCCGATATGTCCTGAATCACGTGATCAGCAAGGAGTGCCATCTCTCCGCAGGTGGTTTTTATCTCATCCATGGGATTTTCGACAAATCTATCCCTCTGGGCGCAAGTAGCCATTTCCAAGGAAAGCTTTAATAACTGAGCTTTCATCTCGTTGTATTTCAAATGCCCGTTAAAAGGCTGGCGGTCGAGCCACCTGATCAGAGGTTTTGCGACCATTATTATCGAGACTACGTCGGATAAATTCTGGGTGGTGACTGGCTTGGACAGGTCGGACTGACGGGACAGTTCGTTGTGAAGGCTTTGCGCCCGGCAAGCCAAGCGCATGGCCAGTTGCTGCAGGTTTTCCGTGTCAAGGTCATAGTGTAAACTGCGCAAGAACTCGACTGCTTCAAGGATAATCTCCTGGTGACCAAGCTTAAACAAGCCCAGCTGTTCCAAATCTTCGGGACGGAGGTTCAAAAGTTGTTGTCCGTTTACATTGTGGTTCATAAAACTGTGAACGTACGGTAGGACTGAGTTATCCAATCCTAAAATCCAGACAAAAAGACAAGAGCATGAATAAAAATAGTGAACGTGATACATTATTTGCCACACGCTTATTTATTTTTGGTGTCTCCAAAAAGTATTTTGATATCGGAAATCATTGGTTAATCGTGAAGAAAAAAAACTTTAAATGCTTAAGACTGAACAATGATTAATACTTAAGCGTAGTGAAATATTACTTATAATGATTACGCTGAATTGAACACGGTGAAAAGAAAACAAATTTTATCGTTTTCGTGGTTATCATTGAAAAAATTCACAAACAAATCATGAAATAAACTTAAGAAAGCTTGCTAGCTTACAGAAATTGTAAAGTTTGGTACTTTTTTGTTACCCATCCTCCCACCTGACCCAAAGTCCAGATATTTTTGCATGAAAGCTTTTAAAGTCAATTTTTTTATGAACCATGAGAATTCGATACGAAAATAACTAAAAGTGGAGATAACGCCATATTGACCATCTCCCCTGACTTTATTTTGGAATAATGATTCATTTACACCTGTCGTAGTTCCTAATTAGAGTGTAGATTCCAGGTAGATAAAATTTACACAGGGCAGAACACGTCGATAGGGTGGAAGGTACTCAACATATACCTAAATCAATAACCGTACAGATGTCATTCAAAAGTACAGGTCCACGACTTTGGAAAGTACAGGTACTTTTAAGAATTTATAACAGAATATGAAATCTGAACTGTAAACAGAAATTTATGTTGGATAGGCTATGATATTAAATTACAAAATCTACTATGAAAATTTTGGATTTTTAGCTGTTTCGGTGCCAGAGTGCATACTCTTAACTCTTAACGTAAAGTTAATTTCCCAGAAAGAGTTATTCAGAGAGTGCGAAAAAACGTCTTGTACAAAAAAAAAAAAAAAACAAAAAAAAAGATTACGAGTTTAAAGTAATTCTATAGCACTTAGAAATTGCTAAGACAATAATAATGAACTAAAATTGTTTCATGGTAATCGTTGCTAGGATGAAACAGGGGAACCCTATACTGTGTTTTATCGTAAGTACTGCTATTCTGATGAAACGAAAACAAGCTTTTAAAAGCATATGGAAATAAAAAATTTTTGTGTTAAAATAAATGCGGATCAATTAAAAAACTGACATAACTCTAGTATTACTGTAAAACCTAATATAATATAGTATTTTAAATCTCCATCATATTTTATGAAATATGGCGCTGTAGAACGACTGATTTTTAAAAAAACTTGTGAATAAAATATAACATTTAAATTAAAATTGTATTTGGTCAAAGTGTTTCAAATAATGTACTTGAAATACAAATGTATTTAATAAAAATATGTTACGTTATTTTATTAAATACAAGTGTATTTTGAACAATTTACGTACAAGTTTTATTTTTACAAACTTGATTAAACGTAATTATATTTTATTTATTATATCTTCATATATGTTTAAATAAATTTTGGAAAAAGGTCTCTCGTGCAAGTCTCTCACCTCCCCCTGTCTCTCTTTTTCTAACGTACTCTCATGAGATCAAATAGTTCGTATCGCCCTAAGGCCACGGTCACGTACTTAGCTGCAAAATAGAGCTGCAGATTGTGGAATTTATCTCCACTTGACTTGTTCCGCAGAAGCATATCAGAAACCACCACGTTCACAAGTAGCAAGGAGTACTGCGTAAACGATCAATTTTAAACATTAAATGCTGTAACTATCTACTCAATAAATTTAATTCTTTAAAAAGTGTAACCAGTATATTTTTTTTTTTTTATTCCAATAAGATTGATAGATGGTGGAAGAGCTTTCTTTGACAAAATTCGCCATCCGTAATTCTACAGCTCTATTCTGAATCGTGACCTACCAATAATCAACAGTTCACTGTAGGTATTCTTAGGAGTTAAAAAGAGATATTTTATTTTTTTACTGCCGAAAGAAAGTCTTAATACTTAGGCTGCGTTCACATGTACATCGAATAAGGCCTTGCAGAATCAGAATAGCCCATATTATAAGCTTCTGTAGGAGCGAGAAAGAGATTCTTTTCGGCAGCAGAAAATAACCTATTGGCAGCTTACGGGCTTTTCTGATTTCACAAGGTCCCATTCTATGTATCAATCTTAACCAAAAGTAGGAAAATGTACGCTCAAAAGTAGAATACGTGCAATTCAAGCTTTTGAAAGTATAAAATATGAAATTTGATCTTTTAAAAGAATAATATCAAAAACTCTACTTTTCAAAAGTAGAAATATCGTATTTTCTATTTTTAAAAGTAAAAATTTTGTTATTTCTCCTTTTGAAAAGTACAAATGAATATTTTCTACTTTCCAGAAGTTCTCTATTACATCTAAATCAGACAATGAAATTCGTTAAAAGTGAGTATTTATCTTAGGTAGTTGCAGCTATAACAACATTTTTAAATTTACTTCACTTCATTAAAATAAAAAAGTAACAAAACGGTCAAGTAAAAAGTATATAGATGTCTTTTGAATGGAACGAGAATTAACATGTTATGTCGACGTTGTTGTAGTTATTCCCAGTGTATACTACATATTATATTTTTGAAAAGTCTAAATTCTGATTTAATACTTTTGAAAGGTATAAATTGTAAAATCATACTTTTGAAAAGTATAATTTAATAATGTTATACTTTCAAAAGAACTAAATTTTGCTGTACACTTTTGGAAAGTATAAAAGACATAATTTCTACTTTTTGCAAGATGAAACGACTTGATTAATTTTTTTCAAAGAAGGAAAGAAACGTTCCTACTATTGAAAAGTAGGATTTTACGGTTTTCTACTTTTTTTTTTTAATTTCTACTTTTGAGCGTTCATTTTCTTACTTTTGGTTAAGAGTGATACGTGTGAACTCAGACTTATTCATTAAGTCCTACTACGCAAACATGTACATAGAAACATTTTCTTTGGACTCATTAATTTTTCTATTCGATATGTATCTCAAAATAAATTTTCATATTAATGAGTAACTCTACATCGATGTTATTATACTTCCATCATAAGTTTTGAAATCTTAGTAAATATTATAAATGTTAGTACGCACTGAGCGAAAGAAACTATACATTATTAGTGACAGAACGGACAAAAATTACCGTGCAGTTCGGTAATCGTGAAACAAAACGTCGCTTCGGACTATTTTTACCGAGTCACCACTAAATTTTATCGTCCAGCACTGTAAAAATTATCGTCTGCTTCTATAAAAATTTTTATCCACACCACAAAATTTCCTTGTACAAGTCGACAAACTCTACTGCTATTCCATTCCATCCTATTGTCAATCAGATCTATTATATTCTTGTTCTTCTGCCTTAAAAAATACCAACAAAATATTCTACTGCATCATATTTACATATGCACTGAACAGTACATAAAAGTGTAGCAGTAACATGGAGCAGGTGAGAGATTGCATGAGTGGTGATAGGAAAGACTTGAGGCGTATGTATTTCTTTATCTGAATTATTCACATAATCACATTATGGTCATCAGAACGTATGGATGTACAATGACGTTTTTTCCACACATAAATTCATGTATTTGCCTTAAAACTGCGGTGTTAACGCATGTATAGGTACGTACTATAACCTCAATAAAAAGTTAGCCCAATAAACGAGGGTGTAAGAATAAACCTACGTTCTGATAACTATGGTGTACCTAAGTGTGTAAATAATTCATATAAATAGTAAGATTTAAATTCACTAGCAAGTTGGATTTTTTTTGCCATTGTCTTTTAGCTACACTGTCAACAGACTGCTTCACCTCTCTCTTGTCACTGATTCATGTTACAACTATATATATATGTATACGGGTCATTCTACTGAAAATGGCATATTTCATGTCCCAGTCGATTACAAAGCCGTTTGAGGAGATATTGATCTGGAAATTTTTTTAATTACTTAAGGGATGTTTATTTTTTAAGGTAAGACAAAATTAGATACGATTAGATAGAGATAAAAACAGGGGCTAAATTAGCGTAACGGGCTCATGCCTCATTTGAAAATTTGCAGTTTTGACGACACCTGGAATCAAAACACGGAGATTATAATTTTTCTACGGTATGGGATCTCAAACTTATCCACGCAAACAACATTTTCACGCATTTTAGACAGCCAATCAAAATTGTATCCAAGAGTTGGCTGCTGTTACAGTTATGGGACTGAAATCTTATAAATTTGAAATTTCAACGAAAAACACTCTCACAAATGCACGCAATTTAATATGGATATTTTAATTAGGACATTTTGTATTCTACAAAGGTTGAGGATGTTGCTAGAATTTTCTCTGATGTTTCTTCTCCATTAAGCCAGTTCTACAGGCTTGCGAATTTGAAGAGTGGATCTCCTCAAAATAAAAAATAAGAGTCCATAATGCTAAGGAATGTTATGTAATTTTTTGAAGCGTTCGATTATCGACTCAGAAGGTGGCGGGTTAAAATTAAGCTGTTTTTTGTATGATGTAAGTGCAGTGACAAAATTCAATTTGTGTTCGGTGCGTTACAAACTCGATTTTTTGATGATTTTATAAGAGCCCGCAACGCTCTTTTTTTTGCTAAGAGCCCGTAACGCTATCCCGTAACGATACAAAACCCATTGCATCTTCACTGAGTCTTAGCTTATCAGCTGGAATAGTATATAGTACATAATAGTAGGGACACAGTACATCGTAAAAGACAAGAATAAAGTTAAATTTTCACTGTAAGTGGTAACATCATGATTTGAAGATAATTTTTTGAACCCGTAATGCTCCTTTTTTTGACCGAATCGCACCATATCTTTGTGCACTGTTTTATTATGGACTCGGATAGTGTAGTACATAATAGTAGGGGCTTAGTACATCTTACAAGTGCAAGCATATAGATAAAATTTTACTGTGAGTGGTATAATCATGATCTTAAGATTATTTTTCCAACCCGTAACGCTACTATTTTCAAAAAATACAGTAAAAAAAGTCTTAAAAAGTTTTTTGGTGCAGATCCAGCAGGGCCCAAAAAAATNTCCAAAAA